AAAATATTTAGTTCATATAAATCCTAAAATAAATACCAGTTCTTGGAAGTTACCCCCGCATAGAGCGAGTAGCAACATCAGCGAACGAAAGTGGAGAAATTATGAAATCCTCCTTGCTATAATCTCCCTTAAGAGTCATTCCTTCTTTTTATTCCACACCAAAGATTACAAATATTGAATTTGTCTTAAATTATTAGCGAAAAATGAAAACGGATTCACATTCTTTCTGTTCAACTGTCCACGCCTCCTTTGGCCAACAGGATTGCTCTGCATCAAATGCTGTATTTCGGGTGGCAAGTACACTGGAACCAACTGATTACTCGGACTTAGTATGAAATTCTGCGCCTGTTGCTCAGGTTTACTGCGATGTTGCTGGTAAATTTCTGCCGGTATATCCGAGAAAGGCTGATAGAATACCTGACGACGGCCCGGAGCTGCAGTTGTGGTGGTAGTGGTTGTAGTAGTAGTAGTTGTTGCCGATCCTGTGTTATTCAAACTATTTATATTCACATTTGTAATGTTATTCGGTACATTTAAGATGATATATGGCAGATTAGAGTTGCTAGTACTACCACCGATGCCAGAACCCAGTAGCGCTCTTATAAAGAAGCCCTTAAACATGCGTGAGGTATCAGCGCCCTGTTTTGGGTTGATTAAAATCAATGCATCTGCTGATTTTGTATTATTTTCATGGCTAACATAATTAAGCTCGTCATCTTCCTCAGCTCCTGTGCCGGTTGAAGCAACGTTTATACCACTGCCACTGCCACTGCCAGTGCCTGTGCCTGTTAAGTCATCATCCTCCTCAGCAGTGCCCGTGATGGTTGCCGTGTCAAGTTGCCGTAGCAAGGGCGTGTAGTGTTTAACTTTGTTATGTCGCTGCTTGTAGCTGCGTTGTTCTGAAAAGCAAATAATGAGGCTTTCTCCGAAAAGAATGAAAAATATATATGTTTGTTACCCAATCTGCGACCATCTACTGCTAAGGCGCCCATGAACAAAAAAAGGCAAATGAGTTTTTGTTTCTTCGCAGAAATCATTATGAGCGCGCATCAGTTTCTGTTGCACGGTTTTTTTGAAACTATAATGTGGAATGCTCAATCTTTAGACTTTTATAGTCTGTATTATTTTGCTGGCTTAATAGTTTTTAAAAATTTTTCTTTCAATGTTAGTATCACAACAGTCCAAAAACAGTGATTTTCCAATCAGAGCAATTTCTCAAAATCTTGGTATTTCATGTCTTCGGCTTTATCAGCACAAATCAAAGTAATTTATCTCATGAGTATAGAAATGATATGCGTGAAATATAGCTTGGGATGCTGGAAACTTAATGACAGCCATTATTATGTGATATCTAAAGAGATTATATGTAAAAAAGCATATTCTGTTAAGCTCGTATTATACCAACAACGTTGCTCAATGCAAACGTGTTCCAAAATATACTCATCTTTATCAACGCTCATTCAAATCGTGGAGTGATTTCTATGATTTTTTCAAGCAATTTTTTTGTGTGAACTAATAAGAGGCGATATAATCTAGATTAGCTTAATTTTTTTTTATTTGTGACTGAGCGCCTGCAGTTAGCAAAATTAAAATTTCACCAAAAAGTTGTGCTTCAAATCGGAACTTTTATGTTTGGGTTTTTTATTGAAAATAATTTTATTTAATCTTAAAATGCATTACTTAATTCGAATTATATATGTATGTTAGCAGCAGCGGCAGAAATAATAATTTTCATCATTTTTTTTTTTTTTGTTGTTATATCGACACGTAGCGGCTGCATTTCATTCTCTGCTCTCTTCTATTGAAGTGCACCAAAAGACGTTGGTCTCCCGCAGGGAAATTGTAGACTAGTACACAGAAATTGTAGCTTTATAGTAATATTTTGTAGACGAAATGATACCAGTTTGTTGTAAACCAGAATTATACTAGTATTTAAGGCCCAAAAATATACTACTATACTTGCCATAGCCTAAAACTATACTATTTTTTTCTGCAAAATCTGAACTTGTTTAGAAGAAATTCTAGTATCTGAACTAACATTTAGCCGACCAATTGTTTAATTAAAAAAAAGGGGGGCACAGTGCTTATTAAGCTTCAAAGACATAGACCGATATCTAAACCATTTTTATAATTTTTTTGAATACTTTATATACTTTTATTAATTGTTAAATTAGTCTCATAAATAAAAAAAAGTATTAATAAAAAGTTTAAAAATGTTTCAAGGTCTCTAGAGGAATTTTCAAGAACCTTAATGTAAAATAATATGAAATAAGTACGTTTTTTCAAATAAGTCGGTACCGAGTCAATTTCCTATGACAAGAGTTTTCCTACAACATTTCTCAATCTACCTGAATACACACAAAAAAATCAATAAAATCGGTTCTCTCGTTTGGTATGAAACAACAACTGATATATATGAACTGGTATACAACTAGTATGAAGCTGATGCATAGACTTACAATCTACAGTTAACAACAAGTCTCTTTATCTGTCGATATATCGTCGTGATAGTCGAGTGTATATGCAGCGCGTTAGGCTCTAGATTCGGTTCCTGCTGGAGGCAAACTAATTTTTTATTTAGAAATTTTCACCACTCCGTCATTCGTATGTTGTTGTTGTTATAGTACGCCACGGCTGAGTTTCATTTTGTAAAAAGTTGTGTTGAAGTGCGCAGATTTCCTTACCCTGTACAACATATGGATAGACTAACGAATTATGCTCCGAACTGACACTGGCAATCTCACCGTTGTCGTTTTCAAAGAAGTAAGATGGATCAAAGAGCGCGCCAGCCAGCAAGTTTCTGTTTTGGGTATAAAAGTCTTTAGTTCATTGTTTGATGAATCTTGAAATTCCAAATGCCACATATACATATACCCAGAGTAGAAATTAACGTCGTCGCTCAAGACATTTTGCTCAAAATATCGTCGTAGCCCTGCTGGTTGATCAAGCACCCAATAGACATATGTAGGGTTTTAGGTGTGCTTAACTGGCTTCAGTTGTTGTGGGAGCTGGGTTTTATATGGATGTGGGTCTAAGTGCGAAGTAGGTCTTGATGTGCGGTAAGAAAGTTTCAGCTCTTAACAACGTCGAGAAAAAAACACGTTCGGGTCTTCGGCTACACTCTCACTTACGACGAGCAAACCGATGTTGCATAGATCTTACAATATCCCTTGCCGATCCAGGGTCTGAAAATTTCTTGAAAATTTTACCAATTGTTTGGTCAGATGAAAGATTATGTGCGAGAAATGTAGCAAGATTTCAATGACTATTTTTGTAGTAGATTTAAACAGTTTTAAAGCATTGTACAGTTACTTAGTGAGCCATTGCTCTAAATGCCTGATTTCTTGCGAAAAACAAATCATATTTGGTTTGACAGTTTAGATTGACCGTTGTCAAAATACAGCTCTGTACTTTTGAAACCACAAGAGCACTGCCGAAGATCGGTTAGCAAGCAATATATAAATATATATCACTTTCAAAGTAGTCACTCGTAGCATAAAAAACAAACAAAATTTCATGGAAATTGAATTTCAAATTCTTTTGAAGAAATTTCAAAATATTGGATGAGTGCATAAGTTCGTGCCCGATTCCGCTTGATGCCGTTCGAATCGTTTGAGAGTGGCGCTCGTGAAAGAAATATATACATATTATATATCGTTGGAAAGGTGACAGTCCGAACTGTAAATCAAGGATAAATTAACTTCATTTTGATTTGAGTTGCTTAGTGAAAAGACGCATGGAAGATGGACAACGAAAAAGATCATTTGCGTCATATTATGTTATACGAATTCAACTAAAGATATTCGCGAAGTTTATTCGGACCGTGCTCCAGCACTCCGCACAGTAAAGAAATCGTTCGCGAAATTTCGTTCTGGAGATTTTAACCTCAAAGATCTACCTCGCAGTGGACGGCCTTCTGAGCTTGATGACGATGTTCTAAGGACTTTAGTTGCGGATAACTCACGTATTTCGACGGAAGAGGTTTCCAGTGAATTGAACGTCAACAAATCAACTGCGTTTCATCGTTTAAAAAAGTTGGGTACACTTTGAAGCTCGATACATGGGTGCCACATCAGTTGAGTAAAAAAAACCGACCCTGGCCAAACTGAAGGAGATGAATTGGGAAATCATGCCGCATCCCCCATATTCACCCGACATTGCACCTTCTGATTATCATTTGTTTCGATTGCCGCAGAGCAATTTGAATGGAAAAAATTTAAAAATGTGGAAGACGTCAAAAACCACCTTGACACCTTTTTCAACGAGAAACCGCGCGATTTCTATGAATCAGGCATCCGTAAATTGGTTGAACGTTGGAAGTGGATTGCCGAACATGATGGCGAATACCTAATTGATTAATAAAAACGCTTTCTTCAAAAAATTTCAATTTTAATTTGCACTTGAAATCGGGCACGAACTTATGCACTCATCCAATATAAAAGTCGCTAGCAACCGACAATTTGATTTAAGAAAGAAGAAATTGCATTTTTCATTTCTTCCTACCTATGAAAGCAAATTGCTTGAAGGAAATAAAAATTGCGTGAAAATTGCTACGTCTGATGTCATCTTAAAACTTTGAGAAAATACCTTTCACTTCCGAAATTCTTTCTTCCCTCTCTCTCAAAATTAAAGTTCCACTTTAAGAAAAACATTTTTGTAGCAATTTTGGAAAATTAAACTCTTAAATGTAATTAGCAAATATTCGAAATGCAATTTTTATTGCTAAAAAGTAAATAAATAAGCAGAATATTTATTAATTTCAATGAGCCATTCAAGCAGATAAATTAACACAGAAAAATGTGGCGACTAAGTACATGATGCCACTCAACACTTGGTCTCGCCGCCGAGGTAACTGAAATGGGTGTAATTACCACTTTTCATTACGCCATTATAATTTTTCTTTCAACTCTCCACATTTATTTATTTCGCGCTCATAATTTTTAATCTTTCGACATAAACAAAAAAAAAAAAATTAAAAGAAAATAAAAAGTGTACAAAGAATGAGACAAAAGAAAGACATGAAACAGATAAAACGCGAAATTGTGAAAAGGGGCAACCACGTAACGGGTGCGAAGACGGGAGCGAAGCGCATTATCTTAAAGCCGCTTATACCAGCAATACACAACACAACAGCGGCGACAGCAGCAGCAGCAGCAGCAGCAGCAATGACCCAAATTCGTGACTTGGCAGTCGATGAAGGTGAAGTGGGTCGAAATTCTTTCTTTCGTTTCGTTGAGAAAGAATTGAGAAATAAAAAATAAAAATGTGTAAAACGAGCGATGATGATGGCAAAGTGTAGCGATGGCCTGAACATTGATAAGCATCTGTCTGCGCGAGACAGCGAAGATTGGCCGTACCTCACATACCATACATAAACACATATAAACAAACAAGAGTATGCGAGTGGAGCCAGAAGAACATGAATATTATGGGCTCATAAAAAAATGGATTCATTGGCATCGTGAGGTATTAAGATTTATACATATTTATGAGTTTCATTTAAACAAATACACATACATATAATACATATATGCAATCTTATAATTATGTGCATAACGAACTTGGCGACAAACTAATGGTTTGGGGTCGCCAACCAAAATGTATACCTGTACAGTTGACTTATTAATTCTCCGAGCTAAGCAGCTTGACTTTTAGCTGAAAATGTCTTGGCTTTTGCGGGTGCTCGGCGCATGTTTGGGGTTGATTTGTTGAGTGCTACATTATCTGCGCGCATATGTATGTATGTATAAAATAGCGCAGCATTGTACCGTTAATGCGCCATTATATAAAATATATTTTTCATACTAATTACCCTGGCTTAACGCTTACCTAGCTACGAGCGCTGTGCAACGAGCACCCACCCGCCATGCTTATGCTTTAAGCTTCAGCGCGCCAGCGTCCTAGCTAATGTCGAAGTGGAAGCTGCATATTTTTACAATTATTCTCCATCCATTTAAGTCTTCGTCACCGCCTCCGCCTCTGCCTCCGCCTCGGTGTATTTGTATTTTGCGGCATTTACATTGCTTTTATCTATATTTTATCAAAAATATCTATTTACTCTTAGGTTGCGGCGGTTTTGTGTGTGTGGCAGTTGAGTAATCACCTGCGGCCATCTCAGCTGCAAACATTTTGTTTATTTTCCGCGAATTTGACTTGTACAAATAAATGAACTTTGCATAAATTTCCGCATCAAATACGGGTGAAAGTTGCGCTTAACCCTACGATGGAGGTTGTTGTTCATGTGAGACTCGTGGCAATGACTTAGAAAGGTGATAGGAAGCTTCCGCAAAAATTTTCATATTAAAAGAGCGAATCCAGTTGCGAGGAGTTGACGTTCTTTTGAGCTACCTCGCGTGCTGAAACTGACTTGGTAAACGGTGGTGTTATAAATAAATATTAAGAGCAGAAAGAGCTTGAGAAGAATTTACATCAGTTAGTAATGTCGCAGCATAAGCCTAGGTCTAGACTAACCTCCATTCTGTAGCTCAAATGCTCGCAGTAAAAGTCTAAGTTTCAACCAGTTGGAGACATTAAGAGAAACCTAGTCCCACTCGCCAAATCGATTTAGCGGATTGAAGGCCTTTTCTTCCCACCGTTTCCAGCTGTATTTACGCTTCATGATTTGAGCTGGGCTCCTCGTTGGTTTAGTCGGAATACGAATTCAGAAGACTCCGCACAGCAGCAGGCTATAGCAGCCAGCTCTCCCCTACAGCTACCACTTCTAAAACTTTCCACGCTGGACCGTTATGTTTCTCATCTCGTACACAGAGAACCAGGAATATTTACAAGGAAATACGTGTATGTCTCGTAGACACCGATTGACATTTCATCGAACAATATCATCACTCACCTAAAGCAGAACGGACAGGAGGAACAGCATGTAGAGTTGTGTCCATCAGGAGATGTAATCTTAGTAGTAAATCAAATACTGACAAGAGTAATAGTAGAGCATCGTCTTACCCAGCTTGGGGAAAGAAAGAGTTTAGACGGTAAGCCCGATGGCTTCTTGAAAGTGATTCGATGAATAGAATATGAGTCAGAACCTATTTAACTTGACAGCATACTTAATCATCAGTTGGTAGCATGCAATTTAAGAGCCTCGAAAATCGTATTCTTGAGACCTTAACTCGGTCTCAGGCTTGCTTGTCAAATCACTCGAAAACAGCTATTGGTCTTGAGATCCTTAGCAGGCTAGCCCGAAAAACTAACTGGTCAGATGAGTAGCTTCTGGCAGAAAAATAAAAGATCGTTGGGCGTAGATAGAAGCAGCCGCTCCCTCTCCCTGTGGCATTACAAAAAGCTTGACCTCAAGAAATTGAAAGGTTTAAGCTCATATCGAGTTCGAGGCGAAACTCGGATATTTGTATTTATGTACTTGAGAGTAGTTTGAGTTATGAGAGTCCTATTTAGAGTAAAACACGTTCATAGTATTACTAGACTCACTATATACGAACGAAATCACATCTTGTGTGTCCTCCTTTGTGAAGAACATTTCCGCTCTCTTAGCTGATTAAAGTATGCCGTTTGTGTCGTGCCAATTGAAGATCCATTAGCTTCTCCATATGATCCGCCTCTGTCTGTTGAGCGCCAGATAACACGTATGTCTTCTCACTTTCCCACTTAGAAAAGTGTTTCTTGCTCTTGTTCTTGTTCTTCTGAGATAAACTTATACGTCTTCTTCTGATGTACCCAATATAGTGGACTTTTCTTTTCTCTGCCAGTCTTTCGATTGTGGTTTCACACAATAAAGCCACTACCAACTGTGCGCTAAATGAAAGTAAAGCTTTAACGTCTGATTGGCTCTCCGCGTGAAAGGAAATTGAGTAAAAGAGTTTTCTGTAGTAGCTCTGTCGGTGTCTCTTTCGAAACTCTTTTTGCGCGTCCTTAGTTCACGGCACAAAGTCAAGGGCGAGGAGCAATCGTCGGGGAACAGCGCCAGAAGCTACTTTAAAGACAACGAGCTCATTGTAAACTCGAGACAAGCTTGCTGTTTTCCTCGTCTATGTACTCTCTTGCAGCCTCTCTGATTACAAGGAAAATTTCTCCGCTTTAAATAATAATTTTCGTTTGTTAGGGGTTAATAACGTTCGGGTCTGATTTTCTTAGCCGTGCCCACGCCACAACTACACTGCCAGAGCAACTTAACGAGGCAGCAACTAGCGATCGCTGCCCTCAACGTCGCTGACTTTGTATTTATAATTTTAATAATATTGTTGATGATGTTGTTGTTATTATTCGTGCTGTGACTAACCAAGCACTTAATACTCTCCTTCAGGCTCTCTATCCAGCATCTTAAGCGATTATCATGTTGTTGTTTTTTTGCTTGTTTTTCCTACTTTGTTTCTTTGTTTTAAATAATTTGCTTGTACTTTTCATGACCCACCGTTGGCGGTTTATTATTTCCGTCTTATTATAAAGTCTCTTTATGACAATAATTGACGTTTAAAGCACAACACAAAGGATTCTCGCGAAGATTCCATTGAATGGCGGCAATGGCAGCGACTGAACTCTAACAAACACGAGCTTGTTGTGAAGTATTTTGTGAAATTTGTTCATGTACACTTTGTTGTTAATGTAACTAAATAAAAATGAATGTCGGAAATTCAACAAGCAGTTGCTATCGCATTGCAGGAAGCTCTCTATTCATTGTGCGCTTCCATAGCTACAACTACTCTGAGTGCTGCAATCGAAATTAAAGCGACAGGGCGGCCATGATCAGTTTATTGGAAAGTTTTTTTTTTTATTTACGAGGGCTGCATTTTATATATCGAGATTTGCCAAACTTAGTGTACAATCTGGCAGCCGACAACTCTACATAAAGGTTCACGTACTTGAAGTTCTACGTACTTAGAATGCCCTGTCATACGAGCGTAAAGTTTTCATATCGGCCAACAGACATTAGTTACATCTTGAATATTTTCGCGTTATCATCAATTTTCAAGATTCGAATTTGGGTTGATTGATTTTATAGTGACTCCAATTAAGGTATTAGATCGCTCCAAAATGAATTGAATGAATATATTGATGCTGTGCGCATACTGATACTGCATGATCAAAGTATGATCTATCGTGAAATTGATACATAAATTTATAATTTGCAAGCTACTACCCAAATTTGTGATGTTTTCCCCATAAATGGAGGGACCGTAAGTTTATTCTATGCATCCTGGAAACGGTAGATGGATTTTTATTTCATGCCAGAAAAACACTTCCCACCGAGGAGCGACGGCAATTAGAAAAATTAATTTTCGAACCAGTACTCGAAGTTTAACCTTCCGACTGGCACTAAGCAATGCCAACCACACGACTATTGCGGTCGTTAAAATTGAGACCAGCCTACCAGCGACCAGCGTTGGATCTCACACATTTTGTTAATCGCTCAATAAAAAATACTCTTGTCGATTGGTCGAGAGAAATGTAATAAAAATGCGGCAGCGATGCGAATGGAGAGCCAATTGCCGAAGGCAGATCACTCTTCTCTGTGAACATAGACGCTCTCGCACATCAACCGAAACAAAAGTTCGGTAAGTTGACCTAAACAAAAAAATTCTTTTTGTATTTTTCTATCTTCTCTACATAATCGCCATTGATTTCAATGCAACTCTTAAGCCTATAGGTCCACATCTGAAAAACGCATCAATTATCCCCTCGTTGCTGTTAAAGAGCTTTCCTTTTATGTTTTTGCAGTGAGGGAGCGCACATTGTCATGTTGTTAAAAGTAGCGCCGCAAATCCTCTTTCTTCCCGTTTTCCAACAAATTTTTCAAAACTTTTGATAAGCATTCTCCGGCGTACCGTTTTGCATTTAGATCGGATGAAGTATACAGCCAACATTACTTTTACTAGTAATTTTTGTTGCTTAGGTTTTACGGGTGGGTTTGCTCTTGTTGGATCCATACCATGGACTGCTGTTTGGTTTATGTATCGTAGTTATATTGTAGAACCAAGATTCATCACTAGTAGCGACTTTATTAAAGTTGTCAGGCTGACCAGTTTGTTTAGGAAAAATTGAGCAAAAAGCACTGGATCCTCTCTCGATTCTTTGTCAATTGTGGAATTCACCAGAGCTACAATGACATCATCAGTGGAAGATTTTAGCCAACCTTCTCGGGGCTCCTCCTCTATGGACTACAATCTTCGGAACCAATTAGAATTAGTTTCTAAAGACGGTGCAATTTGGCATTCTTTGAGTACTTATAT